TCGTTGTACCGAAACAGGCTGATTCCGACTGCGTGGAGCCTCAGCTTTACCCTTCTGTCCCGACAACAAACCTCCACGGTTTGTTGTCGGGACAGAAGGGTAAAGCTGCACAGCTAATTGTAAATAAAAAGGAGACCGCTAGATCGTCTGGGAAAAGAGAAAGGTACTTCAATGCAGAATGGTTCAAAAACAGAGAGTGGTTAATTATTTGCAAAACCACTAAACGAGCCTTCTGTGAAATAAGCAGATTTGCTGCTGTCAAATTTTCTCCAAATGTGGAGATGACAGCTTTGGAAATACCGGAGTTAATAACTAGAAAAAGTGCCCAAGCCTCCTGGATAGCCACTAAAAGTGGTGTTCAAAAAAAGTGCGCTTACTTCGGTCAAACACCAGTCAACATTCAGCTTGTCAAGCAAGAGCGTATTGAGCAGGACAAAATAAGTGATGCAATGATGGAGCAACTGTGCTGTCATATGTGTGGGCTGGACCTGTATAGTTTAATTTACAGGAAAGGAGTGAGCAGAGGATAGAGTTGTCCATTCTTGTTTTGTTTTCTGTGACTATCTTCCTCCCCATGCTGAACACCCTCTCAGACTTTCAGTTGCACGCGCTACTAAAGAGATGCATTAGCATGGAAACCAAAGAATGGTGTAGCTGTATTGAAGTCCGAGTGGAAACAGTAACATTTGTAGCGTTATGTTAGAATGAAACAGTGACTCAAAAATAAGATTTAGTCAGAAATCGGGAGAAATGTGGGATAAATACGACCCCGGGAGGAAACCGGGAGAGAGCAATGAAATCGGGAGTCTCCCGCGAAAATACACACGCACTTTTTGCCCCCCCCCCCCCCCCCACTTCTGAAATGAATCCGGCACTGCTGGTAGAAGTACCAGAGTTTAGGAATACTCTGTTACTGTACTAAGTAAAAGTCCTTCAAAATGTTACTCAAGTCAAAGTAAAAACGTATACAGCAGGGCCGTCCCTCCCTACAGGCTGATCATGCAGGCTGCATGGGGCCTCACATTGCGCAGGGGGCCTTGCGCAGGGGGCCTCGGTTTATGAGCTTGGCTTGTGCGCAGCTCTCAGCGCAGTTCTCATCTCACAATAACGCTTGGGGTCCCAAGTTGGCCAGGGACGGCCCTGCGTAAGCATCAAGTACACACGTATAAGTAACCACAAGTATAGTAATCATTAGGCAGATTGGTCCATTTCAGAATTATATATAATAGCCTATGTTTTGATTATAATTATTGATGTTTTGATGTGTTGATCAAAGCGTGTAAAGGTGGAACTAATTGTAAGGTTTTTTTGCTACTGTAGCATGATGTGAATTTAATCCAGGTGTAACTAAAGTCTTATTTACACAACATTTGAGCAACTTTATCACTGCATTAATGGGTATATGTGTCTAGTAAGATTGAGCTCGTCATTACATTTTTTTGCAGAGAAGCTAATAAATCTGTAATGCGCTTTGTTTCCACACGGTGACGCACCCAATCCAAATTCCTGCAGCGGCCTCCTCCCTCCCAAAGCGTGACATCATCCGGATTGAAAAGAAGGAAGCGGCGCGGAGCAGCGTCAAGTTAAACAGATATTTAGACCACAAGCAGGAAATGTATCTCAGAAATAAAGTTGTAGGACGAGCCTTTTAGTAAACCCTTGCCACAGCTACAAGGCCTAGTAATATTATACAAACATTATTTGAATGTTAACTATTCTCCTCCAAGGATTTATAGTAGGCCTATATCCAAAGTTGGCTACTCTGGGTTTATTAATAGAAGATTTATTAAGCAGAAATGTTTAATTGGTTCTTTTTGATGTTGAAAGGTAGATGGTGGTCACTTTCATGTATTGTTTAACATCCTGAAGCCCTTTGTGCCTGTAACTGGGATTAAAGGCTGCACAGAGAAAGGGCCACAAAGACACCAAATGGCTGTTTTAGCAGTTTGTAAAATGTATTCACTCAGTTGCCAGTTTAATAGGTGGCTAAAGCTCATGCAGGCCAAACAGACTTGCAATAAACCCTACCTTCAAAAGGCTTTAAAAGAAACATATGGTATAGATTGTTGTTTAAATTGTATGGTTTGGGTTGGTGTTAAATTGGTTACGCAATAGCCTAAGAGGTAAATATTTAAAGTGCAGTTTTATTCCAAACTTTGCACTTCACATAATGACAACAATGTAGTACAACTGTAAGCCTTGATAGCTAGGCCGAGTAGTAACATAAGCAAACGAGGCAAAACTAGCCTTTATCTATTCAGGCAACATCATCATGCTGCACAGTTGCTGGACTAAACTAATTCCTGCACAGTGTTGAGAGTAATATTAAATACTGTATTCTTCATAAAATATGTTTGTTGATTCAATCAGTGCATCGGGTCCAGTTCAGCCTCTATATTAATTTCAAGGATTGCAAGTATATTCACTATATTTGTATATTGAACTATAGTAAGCTACTTGAGTCAGTGTATAGTTGCATTCCAACACTGCTGGGCAGATACCAGTGTAAGAAATAAAAAACAGCCTCTTCCACAATTGACTGGATAACTTGTGCAATAAACCTGCTATGTTCAATATATATACTTGTTTGCAATTGTGCGGTGCTACAATCGCTAAATGTAAAAAACGATATATATATTATTGAGGTTGCAATACGTTTACATGCTAATTATGTCACTTAGTTTTACTTACATTGCTGTTACAATTATTTTTTAGCCATGGTTGCGTAATTATTTGTCTTTATTTGTATTGACTGCCTGTCTTTTATATTATTGCATGCCTTGTTTTTCTACCTGCAATGCCATTTATGCTACACTTTACATTTCCCTTCTGTGAATAAATAAAGGAATTCTGATTCTGATAAAAAAAAAGAATGTATTGTTTTATTTTTGAAGGTATGGACCGGAAGTAGCCTGTCCTCACTGCGGCTGGCTTGGCAGCCTGCATAGCTGTCAGTGGAGCAGCCAGCGGACCGACAGGCAGGGAAAGCCCTCAGACAGTGAGTACAGTGTCTCCGGTGAACACCGCCGCTCCGCTCTCTGCTGGCTCCACACCGAGGGCTGCTGCTCTAAACGGACTGAAAAACGCTGAAAGACAGCAAGACAAAGCTGAACCATTGATTTGTTTGTAAGGGGGGGACATGGCTGATGTAAGTTCTAACGAGTCGTCCACCGGGGAAGTGGCCAATAGGTTTGCTCGCAAAGGTGCTTTGAGGCAAAAAAACGTCCACGAAGTGAAGAACCACAAATTCATAGCCCGGTTCTTCAAGCAGCCGACTTTCTGCAGCCACTGCACCGACTTCATCTGGTAAGTCTCCCACCTCCACCCCCTGACTGCTGCTGCCTGTTGCATATTGGTAACTTCAGTCGAGTAGGCTTCACTCTGCTCGATGATGTAACACAACTTCATGCTAACTTTCCCTTCTTACTCCTACAATATACACTTCTTAACGACTTTCTCACTAAGAAAGTTACAGAACATGGCTAGTCAAAATTCGACAGTATCTTTCCTAGTAGATTTTACTCCAGGAATCCCACTACGTCGACAATTTTTCAAAGCAACGCATATGGGAGGAGTTATGCTGCGGTGTATGTTATGAGTCGAACACTGCATCAATAACTGTTTGTCGGGGATGGAGTTACACGTATGTCAATGGCTGGGTCTAAGGTTCTCAAATTCGTAGCATTCCTAGTAAGAAAGCGGAAAATTAAAGCAGCCATTTTCAATGTTGTGTGACTAAGTGGCCACAGCAATTGCTTAAACCCATGTTTGAGAAGACCATAATAAACAGTAATTAAAACATTTCTGCAAGAGTCTATCAGTCTTGACAGGGAACTAAAGATAAACTGTTAAAGTCCACCTTTCTTGTTGTTTTTCCTGATAACGTTACTGCTGTGAAGTTGCTGAGATTAGATCTGGTGAAGCCTTTGGATGAGTAATAGGTTCCCCCTTCCTGGAATTTAGTCGAGCTATTGAAGCCTCCCATCTACTGCTTTTTACAACTCCGGTATTTATTGCTTCAACTCTTGCACAGTGTAGCTGCTCACTGGCTAGATTTGAAGGAAACAGTCTGCAGTTAACTGGCATTTAGAGCACAAATGGAAAAGCACTTCACCGACAGAGATCTGTCTCAGCATATCCACATGGTTGGTATTCAGTAGAAGTGGGCAGAGACCTGCAGAGGTACAGTGTTGCCTTTATGCTGCAGTTCTTGCAATTAGTGACACAATGCATTGGGAAGGACAAAACATAAGTTTGCTGTTTCTGTAGTGAGACATCAACCTAGTGTTATCTTGAGTGTGAGAGGAGAGAACTTGCAGACAGCTTGGTAGAGTTGCACCCACGTTACAGTCCTCTGCTGTTAAAGGTGGGAGTGTGATCTCAGGCCCCTTTGTTGCTCAAGGCTTACAACCTTGACAGTTTTACAGCATGACCTGTGGCCTTCCAAGCATCACATTTTAGCAAAACAACTCAACATGACACTTATAGGCAAACAACTTGTGTAGTTTTCAATATTCATCCTACAGTAATAGTTTTAGTTATTGAGTCACTTTCCTGGGAAGAACATTTATTTTATGTCCTGACAATGTGTCAAATCAATAATTTGGACAGCAGTAAAACATAGACTTGATGGCCATAAGTATTAGGACAGCAGCACATTACCCCCATATTGTCAAACATCTAAATCCTAATGGACGATATTTTGATATTAAAGCCTTCACTCCTCTTTTAATTAAAGGACAAGCTTAACTGCAGCAGCAATTGTTCCCAGTTAGCCACAAGACGCAAAGCATTGATTTCATGGCGGAATGGCCTTCCCTAAACGGATCTTAACTAGAACTAAGGGCCATTGCCAGTTGAAAGTGTGCTGTGTTCTGAAATATTGAATGAATTACTGTGCTGTGCCTGTCTGTGAGCGAGAAAGAGAAGAGTAAACATCCATTTTATTCTGCCTTCTTGTTTTCACAGGGGGTTCGGAAAACAAGGATTCCAGTGCCAAGGTAAATCATGAATATGTACAATGCAGTTAGGCATATGCCACAGAAAATGCAGCTTTTTCACTAAAGGCAGTTCTTCATTTGATAATTCTGCACATACTGTCCGTTGCTGATGAAGTGCTGTACACCACTGATGTAATTTCTGGCACATTAACCATCATATTTAGGGCTTGATTAATTTTCTCATTTGTCTGATGCTCTTTAAGGCATATGTACATGCGTACAGCTAACGTGACACAATTATGTTTGAGGACCTGTGTGAATAATTAAGTTGACTGTGCCTGTGGGTATTTCAGCTCAGGGCTGTCTTATGCCGAATAAGACAAGATATTATATTCATGCGCCAACACTATTCACATCTCTTTCAGGATTTGTTTGCTATTTTGCTAGCAAGGCATTATTTGTTTACCCACAGCCATGGTAGTGTTATCGTGGTCATTATGTGTCAAAATCATGGAGCTTAAGCAAATGAGCCTAGAGTTACATTGGTTTTTAATAAAGCGTATCAAGCAGCATAGACCTAGAGGGGGGTGTGTTTTTTTTGTGGTTCAGTCATTATTTTGAGCTTGTTGCATGGTGTTCATAGATTTGGTTTTAAAATAACAATTATCGCAGTAATGATTGGAATCTAATGGGCTATTTAACTGTTAACTATTAATGTAGTGTGCCCTATTAAGTGAAGCCTTTTCATAGTGACAACAGGCCTGTTGGCAGAGAAGCGTTTAGCATAAATAGACTAATGGAAATCTGTTTCATTTAAACTGTCTGAGGTGAAAACAGAGGTATGACAGGTGAGGCTTCTTTTAAGAAACAGAGGAGCCAGAGAGAGTACAAGACAGGAGGATATGGAGGGTTAGAGATGTACAAAGCTCACAAATATGGAAAGATCTCCTTCCCCACGTCAGCTCCCAAAATCACTAGCATCACTGAAGGTAGATTTCCTATCACCCCGCCATTTTGAGCTTCAGCATGCATCAACTCTCATAATTCCTCATCTAATGTGGAAACGTTTGGGCTTGCCAAAGTCCCACTCTGATGGCGAGTGCCCAGGTAACGGTGCAGATGATGTGTGACTGATGTTTCACTCAGATGTAGATTCTTTCATGTTGTGTTTGAAAAAAAAAACGATACGAGGGTCATTCTTCAGTATTGCCGTCATTGATATTTTTGATGTATTTTTTTAATTGTATTTAGTCACTCAGTATATAACTATGGATCTGAACCCAAAAGAGAGTAAAAGGAAAATGACACAGCATATACACATTGAGGAAATCAAGAAACAATAACACATATAAAACAATGTCATTAGTGCACTACAGGCATTTCTGGTAAGTTGCACAAACCATTATTTTCAGAGTTCATCAGTGGCACATTTTTTAAACTTTAAATATTCAACAACATTAAAATGGAGAGAACCTGCCCTTTTTTCCTACTGGTTGTTCAGAAGAACAAAAGACAGTCTCTCTCTGTTGGAGACTCAAAGATAAACACTTTGCCACTTGTTTGATCTCAGTGATTCAGAAGCTCTTCCCTTGAGAATGTCAGGGAGGGTGAGTCTTAAATACTGAATCATGACTCATTACTTAGACGGTTCATAATGTCTTGTGTGTTAGTAAGGCCTGTGACTGGCAAACATTCACATATGGGAACCTGCATAATACAGTTTACAACCCAACACCCACCCTTCTATGTGATCCCCTATCATAGAGGTGAGATGCAGTTTGCTTCTCCATAGTATTCTCTCCTGGCTTATTAATGTGTCTGGCCAAGGTGTTGGAGTGATGACAGCCTAACCGGTTTTTGCATAACCTAACATTATCGTGAGCTTGTCCACCAACCCCCTCCTCTGCTTTCACAGCAAGTTGTAATTTTCATCCCGCGGAGATGATGTAGGATATGACATATGAATGATTAGAAGGACGTTAAAGAGACCGTAATATTGTTTGAGAGAGGTTTCAGGAGCATATCTAGTGTTCTGGAGATTTTTCTTTTTGAAGAGAGCAGAGGATTGATTCATAAGCTGTCCACTCCTTCTTTCATGATAAATCCATGCCTGGACCTGTTAAATAAATAATGCGTTCCTTATTGAGATGAAGGTCATTGGTTACACTGCAGCTATTCAAAGACAGAAAGGTCTCCACTTTATAATATCTGTTTAGCTATCAATTATTAAACTCTAGCATCTATAAAATGAGGGTCGAGTCCTCCAGCAGAGCCAGCGGGCCTTAGTTACTACTTAAAAACGACAAATAATGAACTGGAGACTGGCATTTCTATAACAAGAGTGACATTTAATCTTCAACGCTGCAAATGTCCCTTCTCTAAGGATAGAATGGGCCGCACAGAATTACATCATACATGTAGTTTAAAATGCTTGACATGTTAAGGTTGCATTATTTTATTCTGTGTCATATATATTTTAGTCTAATTTAATTTGTGCTTCTTTTTTTTTTTTTTTTTAAAGTCAATTGAAACATGATATAAAAAATCTTAGTTGGAGCCTATGCTAGCTGATTGAACAATGTTTGGATACACTTGAGCATTGCCCATTGTTAAACAGATTTAAATCACCAGTTTATTGTGTTGAACTTCAACTTATGTGGCAATCAAAACAAACCATTCTCAGCATGGCATTTGTAATGAAATGTCAGACGAGAGTTAATTTATTTTTTTGATAGTCGGTGTTGTGGAAACAAGCAAGCTTACAGCAACCAGCTTCCAAGATGGTATCTGCATTGTTAACGATATGTCTGTCTTCACCTGGCTACTTTTCCTATGGAGTCTTATTTCAGGACTTTGGCCTGCTTCCATTGTAAGCAGGGTATCTCAGATTAGTTTAGTTGACATTGTAATACTACGGCCAAGCCATTTGTACCCATGTCACTCAGCAGATTTACTGTTCAGATCTTAAGTTCACACCGGCTTTTGATACTTGTCGATACCTAGGTCGAGGGTTAGGGTTTCTCATTTGTTTGTTTCATCTCTCAAAGTTCTGATTTACCAAGGGTTAAGCTGACAGTGTAGTCCTGTTCTGAGGCATCACACTGATTCAGATAAACATATTCATTACAGGTAACTGTTGGCCTCAAATCAGTATTCCTTAAGTCTGGGGTTCAAGTGTTTTCTTTAGACACCTTTTTTAAAAGAGTGTAATATTCTGTTCATGCTTCGATTTGTTCTTTTCAACAAAGGTACTCTTAAAACTGAAAATATATGGTCCGATACAAACCAAAAAATCTTGACTGACCCCAAAACTTTAGCTCACACATTGATGATCATGTTCCTATTGGCTTCTTAGTAAATTGGTGACATTTAAAAATGGTCCCATCAATTGCTTATTTTGACTAACTATGATTTAAGATACATACATGTTTCAACAAATTATTGAACAGTTTACTACGTGTGAAAAAACAAGGAATACAAGTTGAAGCAATAGGCTTCACTCAATGTTATTGGTTATTCCAAGAGAAGGCTAATTCCAGTGCCATAAAATGTAGTGACCATAGAATTCTCATTTCCCCATCCATACACTGCTCATAACACAGATCGTATCAGGAGTTTGGATGCATTCGATGGATTTGTGCTTGCTCAAAGGTTTCTGGTTGACCTCTAATCTGTTAGGTTGGATTGGACATTTATTGGCAGGCTATAGACAACTGAATTTCACCCAAGGCTTTCCAATGTTCCCTGATGCACAAAAGAAGAAGCTAATGAGTATCGCTGTTGCCTCCCAAGAGAGAGGAGTGTTTAATGTCCAGCCATACAACTGAGGGCTTGTACAGATCAAGGCTGATGGATTTCTGACCCCTGTTTTACCCTGCTAGCTTATTGACTTTGGATAAATTGTTATTAGTTGCAATGGTGTTTTAGTAATGAGAATTTAAAACCTTGCTTTGTTGGTGGTTGTTTTTTTTTAAGACCACAGTGACACTGTCAGACAAATAATACTGACTACAAATGTTTTCATCCGCCCAACCCATCGATGTTCAGTGCCTTTGTTTATCTTGTGCTGCTCCGTGTTTGGACTGCACTCAGAATATCCTTGTGCACATCCGCCTCCGTGTCATCCCAATACGGCCCTTGTTGACAGTCCATGGAAAGATAAACTCAGTGTCAATGGTCCCTGTCACACACTTTTACTATTACTTATTTGTGTCGATTCTTTCCATGAATTTACTCAAACGGCTCAGCGGATGTTTTTTTCTCAGTCATTTAAGTGCTTCATCCTATGTTAGGAGCTTAGTTATAATGTTCAAGGGTCAATAGTGGTCAGAGACACAAGGCCAATTGTTTACACGTTACCAGTGGCCTTGGTTCATTATACATTGCACAGTCGAAAGCGTAGGCCAATGGCTACAAATTGTCCAATGTGATGAATGAAAATATATTAGTCAAGACTTCACAAACTAACAAACCGCCAACATACATTGGGGCCACAGCTTCATTCCTTTTGTGTGTATGATGTATGCGTCATACAGACAGTTTTGCTTTGTTTCACACTTTAATCTTTTCAGGGGGGTACACGGCCTATGAAAAGCATGTTTTATTCATGATCGACATGAATATTTATCTCAAATTAAACGTCGGGTTGCCTAAAATGAGCAGATTTTTGCCACAGTGAGTAATGCTTTAATAGTGAAATTACTAGAAAGATATTGATCTCTGCATAGCCAAGCAGATCATTTAAATTGTGCTTTCATTTGACAGCAAAATATACAGTTTGACATTATTACTTCATGAAGTTATATAGATATGTGAGAAAACCTCACTTGATTATCAAGGAGTAGTTTCCTATCAAAAAGCAATTCAATACATTTTTGTTATATCAGTGAGCAGAAAACTAGGGAGGGTGTAAAACCCTCAGTGATGAAACTTTGAAGTACTAATCCAGCAGGTCTGATATGATTTCCAGATGTTCCCAGACTCTGGGCATGCTAAACATGTATTCAATCAATGTCAAAATAAATAGGTTTCTCAGATTATTTCTCCAGTTCTCTGAGGGC